ATTTATTACCTTTCTTTTTCATATGCTTTACTTAATTTTAAGTTTATAAAATGTAATCTTTAACAATGGCTGCATTTAACCACCATCCCACAAAATTCCTGAAAATTTGATAATCCACTTCCATTAGTCAGTGGGAGCCAGGTCCAGCACACCACTTAAGGCCCTTTTGATGGAGACGGGAGTACGAAGCCCAGGAAAGAGCAGAACCTGCCCAGTAAGGGAGCTGCAAGGCATTGAGCAGAGCAGGGCACGTGGGGTGAGAGGTGAGGAAGGAAGTGGAGTCCAGGATGGGGAAGGCAGTCCTCTGAGCTCATACTGTCTGTGTATTGCCTCCTGGTAGTTGCCCCTCCAGAGGACTTGCGAGTGGCTGGTATCAGCGACAGGTCCATTGAGCTGGAATGGGACGGGCCGATGGCAGTGACGGAATATGTGATCTCTTACCAGCCGACGGCCCTGGGGGGCCTCCAGCTCCAGCAGTGGGTGCCTGGAGATTGGAGTGGTGTCACCATCAAGGAGCTGGAGCCAGGTCTCACCTACAACATCAGCGTCTACGCTGTCATTAGCAACATCCTCAGCCTTCCCATCACTGCCAAGGTGGCCACCCGTACGTACCATTTCCCCATCCTGCCTCATTTTTCTTTTCTCCTACATGAGATCATGGGCATTCATGAGAGCAATGTCTTTTCCTAATTCTTCGGGGATGCCTGCAATAATCATTGCTGTTGAGGGGAAGGGTTGTCCAACATGACCCACTTAGGAAAAGGTACATCATTAAAAAGTTACTTCCGATTAAAAGAGTTTCCAAATTTAGGCAGCTCCCATCAATTCTAGAACCAAAAGGACAAAAAGTACTTTAAGTTATTGAGTTCTGACTTGTAAGCTGGAGTCTGATTAGAGGTAAAGGAAAATATGAGATTTATAAAGACGTTGAACCTAGTTAGAGATTCAAAACCAGGAGGTAAGAAATTGGATACATAATAAGCAAGTGTTAAATGGTATGTTGCAGATGGTAAGTGTATAGCAAAGTGGGAAAAAAATCCTCTTTAGAACCACAACTGACAACACCTACTTCTCCTAATAGAGAGGTGGCATAATTTCTTCACAGTCTGTTGTTTAGCAAAATATGTTGAGAGTCCATTATGATTATAAAAGTTGAGGCTCTAGAGCATAGTTTGGAAAGATTCAGTGGTGAGAAAGACAGAGAAAGAGACAGAGAGCAAGTTAAACTGCTCTTCTTAAGAAATGAAGTTTTCCTTTTTTTTATTTGTAATAGAGAAAAACTCCAAAGTGTGTATCTATATTCTGTATATGTATTTAAGCATGAAAATTTTTTAAAGATTGCATATCAACTATTAACATTGACCATATCAAAGAGTAGACTAAGAAGGAGATAGAAAGGTACTTGTTTTTTCTTTATATATCACTGAGTTCTTAAATCATCTTTTCCAAAACCACTTCTCCAACTCTCCAATGGCAGCTGGGTGACCTACAATTCAATTTAATTCTGACGCTATCTACCTGGAGTTAGTATCAGTTCCCACAAGTAAAGGGCTCCATCCTACAGGACTGCCTCCGGCTTCGGGTGCCAGTCATAAGTCCCAGGCTGTCAGCAGTACTTCTGACCAACCAGCTATAAATTCATGGAGTTCACACAACCCCTCCTTACAAAGAACTCAGGAAAGTGCTACTTACTAGTACTGGTTTATTATAAAAGGATACAACTCAGGAACAACCAAATGGAATCAATGCACAGGGTAAGGTATGGGGATTGGGGTGTAGAGCTTCCCTGTCCTCCTCTATGGGCACATCACCCTCCCAGCACCTCGATGTGTTCACCAACTCAGAAGTTCTCCAAACCCTCTTGTTTAGAGCTTTGTATGGGTTTTTCATTATGCAGACATGATTTAATGGACCCATGGACATTGGTGATTAACTCAATCTCCAGCACACCTCCCCTCCCTGGAGGTTGGAAAGTGGAGCTGAAAGTACCAGTCCTCTTATCATGCCTTGGTCTTCCTGAAGACCTGCCATCTAGGGGCCCCCAGCTGCCAGTTCTCCTAATCATGCAGAAGATACTCTTATCAAGATTCCAAGGGTTTCAGGAGCTGTGTGCCGGGTATCACACAGAGAATTGAGCAGTGGCAGGAAAGTGGAGCAAGAAGTAACTATGAAACGTAAGCCCCTGGGTTGGCAAATGGGACTTATCAACTAATATGGGATAAGAGATCTGGGCCCATTTTATGTAGGTCTCAAATGATAAGCTGGTATTTGGGTAAGAAATGACATGAACGTTCAGAAAAGGGGGAGATTGAATAGGATGAGTTGGCCTTGAAGGTTTCATGGAGGCCCAAGGACTTGCACTTTGAAGGATGCAAGGATAGGCCCAGGCAGAGGGGAAAGGATATGAGAAGTCATCTCGTCCTCTTGTTTTTCAGATAACAAAGACCTTGTTATAATATTGGACTCCCCATATGAATGCTGATTCTATTATCATGCCTATAATTATCTCTGTTTATATTTGACCTTTTTAAAAACAATTCCTCTGGTGCCTGTGAACTGGTTTAAAATATCTGCAATGATTGTGCAAACAGGCAGGTCACCAGCTGCTGCTTTTCCCACCTTGCTCCAAGATGAGTCACCACAGCAAGGGCCTGGCCCAACTCCCAGGCATCTCCTCTCCCATCCACGTGCACACGCAGCAATGAGGTTTCCATCTCCTATGGCATTTATTATGACAATTCAGGGCAGCCCCTCATGCCAGCTCCCAGGTGACAAGGACAAAATCATGTACACTCCCCTGACATGCCTTCAGTTGGGTTTAGAATCAGCCCTCCCTTTCAAACAGGAAGGGTGAGGAAGCTTCCAAACAGGAAGGATGGAAATCTGTCAGTTTTCCAATGGGCATATCCAGGAGAATCAACGCTAAAATGGGATGAGGCTCCCTGATGAACTGAGAAAAGGCATGCTGTCGTATTTCAGGGCTGGCAATTGGAATTCCATCAAGACAAGCATACTTCCACCACCTCACCACCTCACTAAACCTGTGCATGCACATGTGTGCGTGTGTGTGTGTGTGTGGTTGGGGGTAGAGAGAGAGGAAGATTAATAGAGGAAGACAAGATAAGTGAGGCAAAGGTGAGTAAGGGAGACGGGGAAAATTGAAGGAATAACTGGAGAAGAGGAGATAGTGAAATGAGAGCAAATAATGCCAAAGAAATGAGAGCTACTAATCCTTTATCGCATTAATAAGGAAAGGAGAGTGTGACTTTTGTATTTTAATGATAACCTATTATGTAACAGAAAGCATAAAAAGGCATTAGTTAGATTATGTCTGTTCAGTTTGCTCAAGTAGTCAACAAATCTGAGCAGCGGGGCCACCAAGATGTGGGCTGATCCTGCACCTGGGACCCACTGTGTCTGGGATAGATTTGGTGAGCCCACCACGTGCCCACCACCCAGAGTGTGGAGGGAGCACACCCAGGAGAAGCCCCAGCTGATACTCTTTGTCCTGGCCAGGGAGAGCCATGACACGCTCACCCACATTGCTGTGTTCCAGATCTCTCCACTCCTCAAGGGCTACAATTCAAGATGATCACGGAGACCACAGTGGAGGTGCAATGGCAGCCCTTCTCATTCTCCTTCGATGGCTGGGAGATCAGCTTCATCCCAAAGGTAACCTCCACCTGTCAGACTGCTGGACAGCCTTACACAGAGCATTCATGCCCTCAGTTTGGAACTGAGCCACAGGAAGATACAGCCCAATATCTCTCTCCATGCCATTAAGGACACAAAGGGGCATTTTGTCTGGGCTACCGAGCATTTCTTTCACAAAGATGTGGCGAGGACTGTCTGAGGGATCCCAAGCCTAGCACCCTGGCCTTGGAAGACAGCAGGATATGCGAAACAGCCACCAGCCCAGCTCTCGACTAAGAATGCTCTAGGGCTCAGCAAGCTGTGAGTTTAGCAAGTCTCAAAACCAGACCTTCAAAAAGTCAGGGCTTCCCTTCAGGACATAGGCAAATCCTAGCTGAATCAGTTACGTTGTCAGCCCACAGCCTCATTCTTTGCAGAAAGAGGCACCAAAAGTTGCCATAGGTGGCTTCAGCCTCTAAAGGTTAGAGACGTGACACAAAAACACTTTTTAAAACCTATTAATTGAAGGAATTTTCCTTAAACAAATTACACTATTAGTCTTGTGAATTAAAAAGTCTCCTAAGATTCCTTTCTATTCTTTAAAGTAGCATTTTATTAATCCCAAAACTAACTTTCCCAGATAGCTGGAGGTCCCTGACAAGTTCTAGTTTTCCAGGATTTGTTGACCCTCCTGATGTTTTCCCTAAAATGACACCACTCCAGGGGGTTTAATGTTAATCATACTCCTTCCCTCTGTCTTCATCTTTCAGTATCAAAGAGCATTTTTTCAGCCATTCATCAGACTTAATGACAAATGACACATTGTTGGCTAACATGGCAGTGATTTCAACATTCTTTTACTTCAGAATTCTTAGTCATGGAGTTGGAACTACAAAGGACCTTCAAGTTCACAGAGTATGACCCTTCATTTTCCATCTAGTTTGCTTAGTTTATAGAGACTAAGACTCACCAAACTTAAATGACATCAGCCAGCTAGTTGATGACAGGCTTAAAACAAGAACCCAGGTCTCCAGTCCTCCATTCCAGGGCTCTGTCCACAAAACTAGGATACCCTCCTCTCTGTGGCCATTGTCATGGCAAGCTAACTACATCTAAATGGACATTCTACACAAATATATATATGTCTTATCTGCATTAAAATGGCTAGTAAAGTGTGCAGGCAACTAGGTTTATACCAGGGCAGAGGGAATCATGTCACCCTAAAGCTGGGACAGAAAATCTATGCTGGGTTTCCCTGTTTAAGACCTAATATGTAGAACTCCAAGTGAGAGAAGGGTTGGCCAGGGCATGCCAGGGTAAAACACATGGCCACATAGAATAACTATGTGATGTGTAGGCTGAGGTGTCTAAGGGGTGGGGGACAATTGTCACATAGATTTATTAGAGTACGGCTAGAAATTACATATGGGGCACTCCAGGTGACACAAACAGAGACCAGAGAATAGACAAGAGGGGCAATGCCATAAAAAGTCTTCTTGTTTCCCCCATTTTCAGGGACACATGTAGAAAATATATAATAGACAGACAGATGGATAGGTAGGTAGACAGATAATAAATATATCTGGGACCCAGTATCACCAAGTTGATCTTTCTCATTTCCTCTTCCACTGATTTGTGTCTTTTCTCTCTCCTTTGTGTTCTTTGTTCCATGCTTCCTTTTTCTCTTCTTTGAACTTCATAAATGGTTGTGTCATTGATTCCTAAATCATCTGGGAGAAGGGGAAACAAGACGTTGACAAATTTGCACCCAGTGTAACACCTGAGAAACTACAGATAACAGCCAAATAATAGCTCCGGTTCATTCAAAAACTGGGAATGTGTTGGTTTGAAAAATGTCGTGTACATACATACAGACATAACTACACTCTTTTAAATAGCTAAGGACACGCTCTCATCATGGTGAATGCCAACAAATCTGATGGATATTAACCGTAACCATCAAACATTTAATCTTTGGCAAGAGCCAGTCTCCATCACCTCATGACTAATTTTTCTTGGCAAACTCAATAGACTCAGGAGAGGCCAAAGAAATGTTCTTGAAAATGGATTCTCCATTTGCCAAATACTCAAAGAGTGGTAGGATTCTTGTGAAACCTGCTGTGAGTTGTTCCTGGCCCCAGACACTCAGCTGTCAGCATGGAGGGAATCAGTGTGGTCCCCATTTTTAATTCACAATCAGCAACCAATGTTCCACACCTTTTTCTCCAGGTAATTTTTCTCTTTTGCTTCCTCTGCTTCTCCCTTCCTCCTTCCCTCTAGAACAACGAAGGAGGGGTGATCGCTCAGCTCCCCAGTGATGTTACATCTTTCAATCAGACAGGACTAAAGCCTGGGGAGGAATACATTGTCAATGTGGTGGCTCTGAAAGAGCAAGCCCGGAGCCCACCCACCTCGGCCATCGTCTCCACTGGTGAGTGCCACCCACCCTCCTCCCTGTGGCTACCCACCAGGTCACTCAGGAAAAAAAACTGCAGACCACCCAAGAAGTAGACACGGGGGTGGTAAAATGTCTCACTGAGCTGAAAATGATTGGGGTACCTGGAGATGGAGTTACACTACCAGATGTGTACCTGAACAACTTTCTTATTGCTCATTTTTGCAAGCAGAGACATCTGAGAGGATATTCTATGAGGAAAATTTTTTGTTAAGATTTCTAGTGTATTTCTTCTGATCTTACTCATTAGGAGGCCTCATTTGTCAGTCCCTAGTATCTTGAGCTTTGGAACCAGCAAGAGTTAACTCACTCTTACCTGTTGTGAGATTTGGAGAATGTTGTCTAACCCTTTTCAAATCTCAACTCATTCTACAATGATGAATGGTAATACCTCCTTTGCTGAGTTGACGTGAAGGTCAAATCAGATTCATTAGTACTGTGTTGAGGAGAGTGCTCAATACTTGGTTTACACACATATACTCAGAGATCACACCCTTAGAAGAGAGAGCAGAAAAACAAATCATTCAAAACCCGTAAGTGTAGGTTGGATCACTGTTCTAGGTGGCAACTTGAGTCTATTATTATTTCACCCTACAGTTTATCTCCTGCCAGATCATTATGTTTCTAGGTTTGGTTCATTAATTGTGTCATATTTTGCCTTGCTGTTTCCTTAGCTAACAAAGGATGGTCAACTTCAATGCTGCACATTCGCAGTTATGATGCCTATGTGTGTACCCTCACCAAGAATTTCTCAAAAGTTCTAAGTAGCATCTGGCATCATTTTTGGCTCTTCTTTTGTTGGTGAGAGAGCTGAGACTCAAAAATTAAGCAACTTTCCCTATTAGTAACAGAAACAGAGATAGGTGAATACTGGTACAGTTTTATTTTTCATAAAAAGAAATTGACACCTTTAAGAAAGCCAGTCATGAGTGCAGGGCAAAGGCCGAGTTGGCCAGAAAAGGGAACCACAACACTATGTAATGAGACCATGTTTATGGATTAGTGATTCATGCTTTGTTAATTGGATCCAAACTAAACAGCATCAGATGCTGAGGCTTATTCTTAGTCTAGAAAACATTGCTTTAAAACTATTGTGGCATTAGATTATGTTCCATTAGAGCACTGTGGTTCCATGACAGCCCCTCAAGGCAAGGATGAAGTGGAGATCCAGTCCCCTAACCACTTCCACTCTCATGCCTGTTACACCCTCCAACCAAGGCAGTTCCACTTTATACATTTGTACTTTCATCTAAGATTTCATTCTTCTTTAAAAAAAAAAAAGTATTACTCCCTCCCAAAAGGCTTTAAAACCACTGTTCTCATTCAAATATCTCTTAGAAAAAACTCAATTGCCATAAAACCTAACTGTGTTTAGCAGGACTCTCTCAGATGCCAGTGGCCAGTTTTTCCACAGCGTTATTCCCCAAGTTTATGCTGAAACATGTAGGGTTGACGTTTTGTAACATGTGTAGATTCTCCTCCTCTGATATGGAAGGTTGCAGGGTCCCCACATTATTCCTGTGATTTGATATTAAGAAAGGATTAGTTGAAAACAAAAGGCTAGAAGGAGGATATGGTTCATAAGAGGACAGGGAAGAACATTACAGCTGTAGAATGGTTTTCTCCCAAATTATTGAGAGCACTTAGTCCAACCCTACCTTAGTCTTCTGCTCAAGCCACATTTCTACAAAATGCGTACTGTATTTTGGTTTGAAAGTTACCTTAAGATTCAAATTAAAAGTTCTAGATCTAGAAATTTGTGGTAAAGCTAGGCAGAATGTTTTTTCAATTAAGAAAAATGTCCTCGTTAATATTTTGGCACTGTGTACAGAATCATGAAGAAATGGAAAGAAAAATATTTATTCCAGTATACTTCTTGAGTAGGACTTGTGTTTGTTTAGAAATCAGGGCCTAAGTTGAAAGCAAGCTGATACCTCCTTGGCTGGAATGGGACATTGCTACTAAATAGCCAAACGAAGGGCAAAATCCAAGGGTGGCTGCAGAAAAGATGGTTGGATCCCACTACCATCTGCTGTTTTCAGGGAACACTTGTTTAATTATTTCCTTCTGCTTAGGTCTAACCTACACCAACCCCCTCCTGTGAAGTTCTGAGTCCTCATCAGGCACCCAGACTGATTTCTTCCAGGCAGGCCTTACTGGGAATGTAAGGTCCCAGACCTCCTGCAGCTAGAGCTCTCTGTGCTACTCAGTCCCGTTCTCACATGGGCAATCCATTATGGTTAGATTTTGGGGGGGTTAAAGAGTTGAAGGACAGAAACCTTTCATGGTCATTTGGGTTTCTGTGACTTTTATTTTCAAGAACCCCCATTTCATTGAAATGCTTCCCCTTCTTCCTCATGGATATGGGACGTGATCCATTCATTTCACTTCTCAACACCCATTTACTGCATGTCTGTTTGTTAGGTTTCAGGCATTATGCTCAGACAGCAGCTAGGAGACTATTTCTCCCATTTCATTGGCAAATTAAATGAAGTCAAAAAGGCCCAAGTTACCTAAAACCACTCAATACAGCATGCTGAAAAGAAAACATCTAGATGTGTTCTGTGAAATCACATTATTACCCCAAACATGAAACACAGGGCTTCATTTTAACTCCAAACCAGGTGGCACCACCATGGCCTGGTGATTTTCATTTGGCCTGGACCAAAAATCCTAAGCAACTTAATAGAGAAGAGGACTGGGCTCCACGCAGAGAAAGGGCAGGGTATCCAGGGAAAGGCCCAGCTCAGAAAGACGGAGAGGCTCAATTCAGACTGAGACCGTCCAGAGGAAGACCCTCCATTCTGGAGGCAGGAGGAGGTCCAGTGTGGATTGGTTAACAAAAGCAGTCTTAGTCAAGACTCTCTGACAACAGAGGAAGAAAAACTCTCTTAAGCTAGCTAAGGCAAAAAAGAAAACTTACTGGAAGAGCATAGAGCATCTCATGGAACCCCAGAGCCAAAACGCATCTGGGTCTCACAGAAGACTTGAACTGGAAAATGGGAGGTCAGGAATCGAGTTGCTCTTTCTAGAAGGTTCACATAGTCATTCATTTCTGCTGCTCTCTGTATATGTGCTCCAAAAATTCTGTAGAGAGAGAGAGAGAGAGAGAGAGAGAGAGAGAGAGAGAGAGAGAGAGAGTGTGTGTGTGTGTGTGTGATGATTTTGGAGGCTGGGGGGACTGTTCTCTCACCAAACACATTCTCTGCAACACCAGCTGGTACCCTACCAGTCAATTCAATTCTGACACTATTTACTGAAAGAGGACACCGATTCCACAGGTCTACGGTTCAGTCCCACGAGGTTATCCTCCACTTCAGGTGCCAACTGCAAGTCCAGGTTGTTACCTAGAGGTTCCCACGACCCCTAACTTGGGTTTGATTAATTTGCTAGAGTGGCTCATAGAACTCAGGAAACCTGTTTGCTCATAAGATTACCGGTTTATTACAAAGGATATTAAAGGATAGGCCTCAACAGCCAGCTGAAGAGATACATAGGGCGAGGTCCTGAATAAAGGAGCTTCTATCCCTGTTGAATTTGGGGCCCAGCATTGTGTCATGTGGAAGCACCTTTTTTTCCCCAGCCTGGAAGCTCTCTGAACCCAGTCCTTTTGGGCTTTCATGGAGGCTTCTTTACACTGATGATTATCAGCAATTGACCGGAGGTCTAGGGTGGGACTGAAAGTCTCAACCCTCCAATCCAGGCAACCAGCCCCCATCTTCACCTCCTTAACATAACAAAAAACAACCTTGTCCCAAGGGTTTTAGGGGCAACCAGCTTCCCTCCTCACCTCATTAACATAACAAAAGACACTTTGTCCCAAGGGTTTTAGGAGCTCTATGCCTGGAAGGAGACAAAGACCAAACTTGTATTTATTATTAATCACCTTCCCCCAACCTTCTCTCTCACTCTCTCCCTCTCTTTTTCTGTGTGTCTCTCGCTCGATGTTTTCTATTTATGTGTGACTATGATAGAGAATGGCCACATCAGCCCTGGCATGTTCCAGCACCAGCTAACCAGAGAGCCAGAGTCTCTGGTTCCAATTCCAAATCTTTGAAGGGTATTAATATTAATCAGGTCCAGCCAGAGGGGTGTAGTCACAGAAGAAATGCCAACAAGAAAGCTGGACCTACTCTTTTTCTATTTCCCATCCACATTCTCTCACCTTCCCCCACTCCCACCCCCACCTAATTCACCCCAGGTCAGTGCTGCAACATGGATGGTGTGCCCCTAGGAAACCACCAGTTTTTCTGGGGTAACACTTCCCACACTTGTGTTTCCTTCAGCTGTTCAGTGCTAGAGGCCAGGACTCACAAGGGACACATGCTGAGTAACCTTGAGGCACTATGTGTGACCACAGTGCCCTTCTGCCTCAGGAATATGCAAAAATAGGCAGGAAAAATAGCCCACAAGGGGCTGTTCCAAAGCTGAGGTCCTTTATTTTCAGAGGAGCAAGCTTCCCCAGAGGGCATGTTTCATGCCCACAAATGCAAACATCTGTTGGGGTTCAGCACTGTCTTAATAGCTGAGTTGCCTGAGTAGTTAGTCTGGCTGAGCAGGGATATTATTTGGACCCTCACACTACCCTCACTGGCAACCGAGTTGGAAGTCTCAGCTGCTGAGAGGGGGCTGATAATTTTGAGATCCCCTCTCAGGGCTCACAGGTGAGAGCCGGACAGCAGGGTGCACACTAGGAGCTCTGTTCTGAGTTCCCTGTCCTGTTACTCTGGACAGAAGCTGTGGCCCTCCCAAGCCAGTGGGTGCCCTTCCCCTGCCCAGACAGGAGCCAGTGCTGACACACCACCACTGCTGGGAACAAGATCTGCACGGTCAGTCCCCCCAGTGCCAAACTACATGTCCTCAGGAAAGAGATTCCATCTTACTGCTTCCCCATCTTTAAAACAGATAATAACACCCATCGTCTCAGACTGACCACACTTAAACATGAGGGGGGTGGGGGGGAGGAGAGAGATGATGTCAAGCACTCGTTTCTCAAACTCATTTTTCTATTTGTTTCTCATTCAGTCATTGATGGACCCACTCAGATTCTGGTTCGAGATGTCTCTGACACTGTGGCCTTTGTGGAGTGGACCCCACCTCGAGCCAAAGTCGATTTCATTCTCCTGAAGTATGGCTTGGTGGGTGGGGAAGGCGGCAAGACCACCTTCCGGCTGCAGCCTCCCCTGAGCCAGTACTCAGTGCAGGCACTGCGGCCCGGCTCCCGGTACGAGGTGTGGGTGAGCGCTGTCCGTGGGACCAATGAGAGCCAGCCCACCACCACCCAGTTCACAACAGGTGAGGCTATGAGGGGAAACAGAGCACAATGGGATGGGGGGGAAGGGGCTGTGTCAGCTGGTGGCGCCGTCACAGCAGGGCGGCATCCTATGGGATGTCCTGTGTTGGGACATCTTATCTCATATGCTGCTATAGGGAAGGGAGAGGTTTCAGGGTTCCTGGTGAAGTTCTGTCACCACGCAGAGGAAGGCA